AAAAGATAGCAAGATTCAAGAACCTTATATCTTCAGAGCCATAGGATTCCTCCAATATGTTGATGGCCTCCAGATACATGGGCTCTGCTTTGTCAAATGTTTTCGTGACTCTATACAGTTCTGCCTAAAAAGAGCATAGCAAAATGTATTTATTACTTAGTAATGCTTCACAATCTAAAATAAATGGCATTATCGCATAACAGTCCTTGATTGTAGATTTTTCTATGCAAGGTAAATACCTGATTTTAGTAAAGAAGTTTTGATATTAGAACCATTCCTGAATTCTAACAACCTAGGTTCTACGTCAATTTAATGTAAATAATAGGAACGCACAAATGCAAATATGGCAAAAACTTGTAGGTAATCTAGCCCAACAAATTTAGATACTATTTCCAACAACATGAAGACCTCATTTTGGAATTTACATCCTTACTTTCTTGTTTGTTCTTTGATTAACGATCAGTCTGTATCTTGATATATATATATATAAACTAAGTGATGACTTTGATGAAGCAAAAAAGTCTCCAGGTTTAATAATAACTAATAACCAAAATCATATGATTCATCTAAAGACTGGGCTTCTTTAATATAAAAAAATATTTAAAACAGAAATATACTGACAAAATGAGAACAGCCTAAGGGTAGAGGGGTGAGGGTTCCCTCTACTCAACCAATCTAATAAAGCACAGCCTCCCAATCTTGGAGGGCAACAGCCTAAAGGCAGGTTATTTTACTACTCCAAATATTTTGTCTAATATCTTGGTTGGAAGAAATCTTATTCCATTAGGTTATTCAGTGACTGCAGGAAAGTTCTACTCAATGATTCTAAAAAGGTAAAACAAGAAAAAGATTAGAAAATACAGCAGCTACAATACCAGATTGTTGAAGGCAGAAGCAACATGAGGATCCCTCTCCCCAAAACCTTCTTTAGCTTCTTGAATCGCAGAAACAAAAAATCTTTCAGCTTCTTCAAGTTTCCCCTAATTAAAGAAAAAGATTATGATACTTCTTTCTGCAAATCATTAAAAAAAATTAACTGCTAGTGAAGGTAAAAGAAACATGCTTGCCTGCAGAAACAAGTCCCGAGCATTATCAGTAAAAACCCTCCACTTTGAAGTATGTAGATTTGAAATTACAGAACCATCCTCCACTTTGCGTAGTCCAATAGTGTCACTCTCCTCAATACCATTTTCAGAACTTGGCTTAGAGGGTGCGTCTTTAGCTAAGACAGGATTTGAGTTTATTCCAAGAATTATAGCTGCACCACAGAGGCTAATGGGTGTCATTACAACAAATTATCGATCTTCAAAACATCATCAATTCTTTATCTTTTCCCTTTTTTGTAGTTCACAGAAAATTTTATTAAGAAATACAAAAGCTATAAGAAATAGCTGGTAAAAGAGTGCAAAAGGCAAGAACCTCAAAAAGGTTCTACAAAAACATAAAATCCATCACCCCAACAAAAATCAATGACCACAGCTATTTATAACGGAAAACAAACAAATTATTTGAGAATCTCATTAAAATTGATTGAAAATTTGGTGTTAAATTGGATAATATTGTAACAACCCAAGTCCACCACCGCTAGCAGATATTGTCCTCTTTAGGCTTTATTTTTCGGACTACCCCTAAAGGTTTTAAAATGTGTCTGTTAGGGAGAGGTTTTCACACCCTTTTAAGGAATGCTTCGTTCTCCTCTCCAACCGAAGTGGGATCTCACAATCCACCTCCCTAGGGAAACCAGTGTCCTCGCTCGCACACTGCGTGGTGCCTGATTCTAATACCATTTGTAACAGCCCATGCCCACTGCTAGCAGATATTGTCCTCTTTGGGCTTTTTATTTCGGGCTTTCCCTCAAGGTTTTAAAACACGTCTGTTAGAGAGAGGTTTTCACACCCTTATAAATAATACTTTGTTCCCCTCTCCAACCGATGTGGGATCTAATAAGTACTCTCCAACCGATGGAGTTGGCATCCCTATTGTTCCCCCTCAAACAGTTACAATGATGGTTGTGCACTCCTAGATGTCTCGTTCATTTCATGCTTGAAACTAACTATTCAAAGTTTCTTCTAAGGAAATTGGAGACATCAGAGTCCTTATCTCTCAGCTTTAGTAAAAAAATAAAATTACCATAAGTTTGGTAGTTACATATCTTCCCTTTTCTTTTTGGGAAACAAGGAAATCAAATAAACATCAAAAGAGGAAGAACACGCCCTAAAGGCCTAGGGATGAGGAATCCCTAAGACTAAAACAGAAGAATAAAAAAACAAAAGGCCTCCAATCAAGTAGTAATAAATTCTTATTTTGTCATTTGGTGGCTTTACACAATTTTAAAAAACCTTGTGGCACCCCTAGGGGCACTCTTATGAAAATATAGATATGGTGATTATGCTTTGCAGGCAAGGACAAGGAATTGGAGGTGTAAGCCAAAAATACCCCAAAGGCTTCCAAGTTCCAAGAGCTTATGCCAACAAATAATGTTGAACAAGCAAGATCAGAACATATGGCCTTGATCCTCTTTTTTATACAAAACAAACCAGCCCAGAAATGGAAAAGGTGCTTTGGATTTTGTACAAAATATTGGCAGAATGCCACTATTTTTTTGTTTTTCCTTAAAAAACAAAGCTGCTATCAAGAAGAAAGGAAAGAATACAAAAATACCGCCCAAAAAATGAAGCCAAAACAACTCCTAAAGACTTAACCCGATAAGAAAGGCTCTAACCCAATATAACAAGACTGAGAGGATAAATACTAAGGAAGACCTTGTTTTTCTTTACTATTTTGGGTTTACAGCTCAACTGAAATGGATGCCTTTTCCAAGAAATGATGTAGCGAGGATAAGTTCATTAAGAGCAATTTGCAAGAGAAATCCTACAGAAATTCAGCATCCAAAGCATGCAATCTAAGCATTGACAGGGTCTCATATTCGATATCACACATGAATTTCATCTTCCGTGAGATTTTGTCCAAAATTTAGCCACCAAGGACAAGGTGCCCCAGCTAGCAGCCACTGACTGTGACCAAATACATGGACACGTAACCAAAAAAACTGAAACGCGTACATAAAATGGTGAAAACAGCAGACCTGCAGCAGGTCCAGAGAAAAGAACCCATGGAAAACCATTGAGATAACCATCGCGATAGTCATTTCTATTATTGCGAGAAGAAGATTTCACATTGCCTGCAAGAAAAAAAATGATTAGCGAAAATAAAAGCCATTCGGGGAATTGTGAATCAATTAAAGAACCGTTCAATCATTTTTCTATGCCGTGAACAATTTGAAAACCAAGTTCAATCTGGATTTCGTGGTGGGAGATTAATAACATGTCTCAAGGTTTCTTAATCCTATATAGTGCAAAACATGACTCGCAACACAAGCTAGCTAAGAACTAATGGCAGTTCAGTTATTCGAACATCATACAACTTAGCTCCAAGCGAAAACTTATTCCTAATCTTCTATAATTCACATAATTGCAGGTCCAACAATTTTGCATCAACAAATTCAGTTAAGAACTAATTGAAGAGCTTGAATTACGTACAGCGGGAGGAGAAGATCGGCACGTTGATAGAAGTGGGAGTTTCGGAAGTGCGATTGAATGCTGTAGAACGAAAGCTCAATCGCTTCAACCATTTGGAAGCAGCTGTTCTCGTGTACATCCTCGTCTGCTTCGAGCGGTTTCTGGAATGATGAACTGTACGGTCGTGGAGCAAGAAGAAACGGGTTTTAAGGGGTTTTTGCTGAACGGTACGGTACGGTACCGCCTTTTTTTCCCCCTTAACCCCGCTTTTTTTTTTTTTTTTTCAATGGAAAAACCTATTATGTTCATTGGATTAGGTCTTTATTAAATTTTTAATTCATGAATTTATTAAAATTTTAAAATTCCTGGCAGAGAAAAACAAATGCAATTTCTATAGAATTCCATGAAATTAACAGAATTTTTAGTTTTGTTTTTTTTAGAGACGCTTTTCTCTATTAAAAAAATATATGAGAGGGGTTTTATTTATGCATATTATCTAAAATCAAAATATTTTATATATTTTATATTTTATGTGATGTCCTACGTTGATTGGGAAGAGAACGAGTTGATTGGGAAGAGAATGAATCACTTTTATAAGGGTGTGAAAACTTTTCCTTAACAAACGCGTTTTAAAGCCTCGAGGGGAAGCCCGAAAGGGAATACCCAAAGAAGACAATATCCCTAAGAAACAATATCTGCTAGCAGTGGATCTGGGTTGTTACAAATGGTATCAGAGTCAGACACCGGACGATGTGCCAACCTTCTTACTCTTCCCCGAAAGGGGGGAGTGGATTTGGCGGTGGTCCCACATCAATTGGAGAAAGAAACGAGTGCCGGCGAGAACACTGGGCTAAAGGTGTGGAAACCTTCCCCTAACATACGCGTTTTAAAGCTTGAGGGGGAGCCCAAAGAGGATGAAGGTCCCACATCGATTGGAGAAAGGAACGAATGCTAGTGAGGACGCTTGGTTAAGGGTGTGGAAACCTTCATCTATCAGATGCCTTTTAAAGTCTTAAGGGGAAGCCCAAAGAGGACGAGAGTCGCACATTGATTGGAGAAAGGAACGAGTGCCAGCAAAGACGTTGGGTCAAGGGCGTGGAAACCTTCCCTTATTAAGGCATTTTAAAATCTTGAGGGGAAACTCATAGAGAACAATATCTGCTAGTCGATTGATCTGGGCTATTACATTTTATATTTAGTCATGTTCGAATTTTTCACTACAATAAAAATTTGATAGGAAAAAAACATATCAAGTAACTATAATTTAACATTTAATTTTGTCACACTTCTAATCTATTTTTATTTGATCATGATTCATATCAAATTTAAATAAAAGCTCTAACGATTCAAATTAAAAGATCCTTACAACCACATTCAAATAGTCATCGTCTTTTAAGTTACAATCAGAGTGATGTCTCTTAAATTTAGACCCTTTCATCCAAATTTAGAGAGGGTTTAACTATGATGGATACATAAGGTATATGAAACAAAATAAAGTTCGTAAAAGTTTAACTTCTAACATCATTAATAAAATTTTACGACCATTCAACTATGCCCGTAACACTTTTTCCAAGCTACAACGCGTGGTTAAACATCAAATTTCTATCAACATTGTCACATTCTTTCCTCTTTTTTCATCATCTCGTCTTAAAGTACATCGAAAGTTTAGAGCTGACTTGTTATCATGAGTGTTGAGCTCTCCAATCTACTGTATAATTGGTGTCACTGTCATCATCACTCAAAGAGTCGTCAAGGCTCGACTCTTTAGTAGGAATGTCGGGCTTGCCTCTACTTTGTTCTGCTGATTTTTTGTTCTTCAACTCCATTTTCTTCCTCTTCAACTTTTCCACTCTCTCCCTGTAGGCCCTGTCAACAGAAACCCAGAAGATTTAGTGCAACCAGGAATGAAGATCAGAAGAACGAGACGAGTTTTATCGTGCTACACTTACTTCTGCTCTAAGGTTTCAGCTTCCTCTATCATTTCAGCAGCATCGATCTACAGAACATTCCATAAATCCGAGTCGATATCATTGTTAAACTTACCGACGGGGAAACAAAAAGGAGCTAAGTAGTAGGGTGTTACCTCCTCCTCTTCCAAACGGTCATCCACCTCTTTCAAATCCTCTTGGATCAACTTTTCGAATTCCTTGTATTCATCTCTGATAATGAAGTATACACAATCAAGCTCCTATAGAATCCATGGCATAAGCTATAAAGAGTAAAGGAGCATGCACAACAACAATTAATTTCTGAAGAACAAGAAAGTTGCATATTTTTTGCATGGATTCAATAAGATCACTCCTTACACGCAATCGACCGACAACCATATTTGGAGTTCTCATCAATAACATTGTTGTCCGTTCTCTTATGTGTTTGTATAGAGATCCAAACATAGAATTATGGAAAAGTAGTAAAATTTGAATGGGAACCACATTAAATGGTCCAATACCATGCAATCCAGGGACCCGGACTGGTCGGAGAGTCCACGGCATTATTGAAGAAAATCGATGTTTATTTATTCAGCCATCAGAATCTTTAAAACTCATGTGGTATTGGAAAATGGCAGAAACAGTGAAAACATCAGATAATGTCAAACAAGACCAAGATATAGAATTTTTTACGACACATCCAATCATCAGTAGCCTATTTCCCAATATTATCTCCGGTTGGGATTTACAGCAAATCAAACAATGGAACAAATGAGCAATCAAATCAAATATAATATTGGGGGATAAAAATATGCAAACACCTTCTTTAAAAGCAAGGATGACACGAAATAGTATTGTTAGATAGAATAAAAGGATTACAAAAGCTTAACATACCAAATTAAACGTAACAAGTTTAAAGGCGCATACATAAGAAGAGGGAAGGACCTACTTGACATCAGGCTTCACAAGTTTTATGCCGTGCGCACGCAAATCAGCCTCCTTATCATCAAAGAAACCTTCAGGCAGAGCTCCCTTTATTTGCTTCCCCTCTGAACCACCATTCGTGGAAGATTTCTGACTAAGGTCACTGGCCTTTGCAATCACTTCTGACTGAGCGATGTTACCACTACGTGAATCTGGTTCGACGAACTTAATAGATTCCTTTCCTGGAAGGACACAAGGCAAATAAGGCATGTTGAAAAGTGATATCAGAATACCACAGATGCACTGAGTATAAGGGCGGAAATCAATTATACAAAAACTAAACACCAAATAAGATCTCAAGAATATCAAACACAAATTGGAACAAAGTCAACGCCAAATATTTAACCATTGACTAACTGGGTGTAGAGATTTCTTGACAAATTTGATCGTGACATAAAACAATTTGCAGCATTTACAGTCCAAATAATGTCTTAGTAACTCATTTTCCGCATATGTTTCCGTACAATGTCTTATTCCCATATCATTACATGTTGAGATGGATCCAACTGAGCCATGTTTTATTTTTAACCATAATAATAGTGACACCTATACTATCGTGTACATACATAAATATACATATTTGTTGTCATACATATATAAATAATATTTATGCACAACCATATATTTGTTCATAAAATAATATAAGTTCATATATCTAAAGATGCCTGGACATCATATATATTATTCAGGCCTACATGCATAATAACTATCTCATGCATGCCTATTTCCTTACCAGTTTTGAGCCTTTTGGCACTCTGATCGAAAAAATCTGGAGGAAGCACGGATGATGACTGACGTTTTGGTAACTCTGTTGATGTCCCAGTCGATGCTTTCTGCTCTCTCGAATCTATTGGTTTGCGGTCAGGGAGTTCAGTAGGGGCCTCGGCTTTAATATTGTTAACTCCAGACCTACCTGCTGCATTAGCTTTGAGATTATTTATTGCCTGTCATTTACAATAATGTCCCATTAGTAAATATTTGACCAAAAATCATCTCAAACTAGGTTGTATTAGGATTTAGGACTTTAAGATCCCTATCTACAGCAGGTAGAGGTGATGCATTGGAAACAGAAAAATGGAAACAAGGATATGCAAATAAATAAAATGAAGAAACAAATAAAAGAAAAGGTCGTATGGAGCATTCATCGTGTAGTGTACAGAACTATTTTTTTTTTAAAAACTTGGAGAAAGGGACCCGTGTGTGTTTCAATCAGCACAAAAAAACTATAGTCTATGGAATAAGGACGGCAATCCACCAACAATAAATTATAAGGAAATAACTGAACCTAGCAATTCATTGGAGTACCTGATCTTCCTTCTTACTAATATTCTAAACCTTAATATAATTCTCAGCAAAAAACTACAAATCAGTTCTCAGATAGATGTTCATCTCAGACAGAAAATATATTGGGACTTTAATTCGTCCAACAATAAGAGGGTTAATAACTTGATGTAGAAACAATTCACAGAAGCATCTCATGTAATTGCAAGCACAATTTGAGAACAAAATATTTGGAAACATAGACGAAAATGCTCGACCTTCAGCTGATATTAATCTACACATTTAGCACATAGTAGGTAAAGTGACCATGTTGGATAAAAAGGCAAGTTTTCTTCAGGTCTTTGTGGAGGGAAGAGACTCGATGCATATTAATCATCTTAAGTTCACAAAAGACATCACCCTCTTTACAAATAGTGACATTGGCAAACTCAACAACAGTAACATTCATGCTAATATTGAGCTTTTCAGGTCTCTTAAAGGTTTAAAGTGAGTATCTGCAGGACTACAATTGTGGGTATCAACATTGATGATGCAGATATGGCCGTGAATATCTTTTAATAAGATCTGAAAAAGTAGAACATTACCTCGTGATGTCTACGAGAAGACTGGTGTGCATCCCAGTAAGCCTCTGATTTCAAGACAATATCACACACCCTACAGACCGGTTGCTCCAGCTCATTGTACCTGCGCAAGTTAAAAATGATGAATCTTAAACTCATAAAATTTTCAACATGAAATACAACTAAATAATCCTGAACAATTAACAATAATATAATCTTCCTCAATGTTGGTAGGTTATATCATTGTCGAACATTTCTCTGACACCTTCTTATACAGAAAAAAATATAGAAATGACGCTACAAAAAATAGGAAAATTAAAACTGCAAGGAAAACTTGATACTGAGCTAGATGTAAAACTAATTTGAAAATTGCATATTCCATTAGAGCATATCATTTCCTATCGATAACTTCTTCCTGAGAATAACCGAATAGTCTACTACAGTGGACAAATCAAAGTCGGAAATAGAACAAAGAGACAAAATAGAAAAGAGAAATCCGTGTAGGACCTTGAAACTCCATATTCATCGATATTCACCTGACAAGAGGAGAATCGATGCGCTTATCCTTCTTCTGAGCATTCAATTTGGCGCGAAACAACGCCTTTCTCTTGGCTTGAGCATCCATTTGGTGTTCTTCCTCCCTCCTTGCAGACCTAGTCCAGAGTTTAATATCCCTCCGGCTTCAAGCCGAGTTCGTTCTTTCTCCCTTTTTGGTTCGGTAAATCCTGGGATAGCCCACGGCGTATACCCAGTAATTTTATTGACAGATTAATATGAGTCGTTCAATTTTCTCTAATTAATTTAGTTAGACTAAAATTAATAAAAAAAATTAAGAAAAAAAAAAAAAAAAAAACTCGACCTACTCGGTTCCAATGCTAGCTTTTCTACAGTAGCATTTAATTGATGGCTCGATCTTCTCGGAGGGAATGGAGCTTTATAAATTATTTCTCTCTATGTAGTCCACATTTTTACAAACATGTCTATTTCTTCGAGTCTTTTTTCGAGACAGTACTTTATACTGTTACGTCTTTCGTTTTGGTCGGAACTTACTTGTCAAAAAATTTCACGACGTTAGGATGGTTATAGTTATGACTGCCATTCACCGAGACTTTGGTCTACATGTTATCCGATCACCAGCCTACTTGACCCTCCCACAATAGGTATGCATAAAAAAAAGAAAAAAATTGTGAGTTTTGAGGAAAAAAAAAAAAACAATTCATTTAAAAAATATTCTTAAAACTCAAAAAAAAAAAAAAAAAATATATATATATATATATATATATATATATATATATATAGATATAGATATATATATTTATTTATTTATTTATTTTGAGGGCTTTCCTTTTACCCGTTCTTTCCACTCCCGATGATCAAATTTCAGTTCAATTTTCCAACTCTACGTGGGCTCTCGAGTCCATTGCAGGGATACATTCATCTTCGTCTTGCGCAGAGCTGAGGTCCCCAAGAACGCTCCAACAGACTGCGATTCGAATCAAAGAATAGCCAAATCAGCATCCATGTCTTTCCATATTCTTCACCTCCTCCTGTTTTTAACTTCTGTTCGTCTCTGTTTATCAGGTGCGTTAAAAGTGAAGGGCTATCAAATTTTTGTTTCAATGGCTTCTTATTGCTCGTTGACCATGAATGCCAATCAGTCTTGATGTCTTAAAAGTAATGTAACTAATGTGAATGGGTTACTTCCTTACATTTCGTAATCTGGGTAGTCATTAGCAGCTAAAGGGTGCGTTATTTGAAGTAATTAGATGCCATTTTGCTGCTTGACGTCTAAATTTCACCTCTGAAGGTTTTGTTTGCTAGGATGTTAGTTTTCTGCTTCTTTTCAAGTTCTTATTGCTTATACGAAGTTATGTTTAAACTAATAAGATTATATTCTATCCCCGCGAAGCTAATTATCTGGTTCATACGACAATATCACACATGGATGAAGGATAATTATGGGTTTAAGTAAAATTTATCCTTTCTATTATAACTTTATAAATTTTGGAGTGAGCATTTTGATGTTGACTATAGAGCATGAATCCTGACCTGTTATCATTTTCTGTAATGCATTCAACAGATGAACACTCAATGGAATCGGTTCCTGATCTTCAAAATTCAATGTACCTTGTAGTTGATGGTCATCCGTGCATTCGATTACTCAATCTCTCTGGAGAAATCGGTTGTTCAAGTAGGTTATTTTGCACTATACGTAGAAAATCTATTACCTTTGGAAATGCCAACGTAATCCTTAATGGTATGGAGGCGTCATTCATGTATTTTTACTATGTGTACCGCAGATCCTGGGCGAGAAAAGGTTGTAGTACCCATGATTAACTTCAAAGATGCTGATGAGATATTGCAACCGTCTGCAATTTTAGTTTCAATGGATGACATCTCGAGTTTCTTTGCTAGGTAGGTTTTAGATTTTTATATATACTCCCTAGCTTCATACATATTCTCGTTTCATTATAAGGATTATTTTCTAAACTTGGGTCTACAACATGTTCCAAGCCTCCCAATGAAAAATTATAAATAAGCGAAGAAGCATTCTCATCTACAAAAGAAAAAAAAAGAAAAGAAAAAAAAAAAAGAGAGATTTTGAGTGGAAAAATAACTCGGAAAATCAAGGTCTCCTTTGGGCCTCTTGTACTATAATCTATCACCACTAGTGATTGAATTCATATAAGCAGTCCTCAATTGCTATTTTCATTGCAAATTATATGAACCGTTTCTCCAGTGGGAAGATATAAATGATCTCTTCCTCCATTTTCTTCTCTGCTTATTAGAGTTGGAAGAAAACTATCTACTCAGGTAGATTTTTTTTTTGGAAACCTATTTCAGATTACAGGATGATTCCAATTTTGCAAGTAATGTTGGTGGTGTTTTAATCAAACCGGGGACTGAAATACAGAAAAGAACGAAAGGTAGAGTTCATTTATCTATTCAGGTTCTTTTCCCCCTTATTTCTTTTCTTTCCTTTTCTTTTTTTGTAGTTGTGTGTAATTCAGACATGCACGTCAATAACTTACGTGGTGATTTATTTTCCTTTGCAGGGTTTTCTCCTGCTCAAAAGTTTCCACAAGCTAAATTTGCTCCTTACCAAAAAATTGACTATGAATGGAACCCAATTGTATGTTTGAATTTTCTTGCTGAGTTTTTTATTTTTTTTAGGAGTGGTCAACCTTTAGAAGCTTTTTACTTCTGAACTCTTATTTTGTTCTCACTTATAAAGCTAAGCACCAAACTATTGATTGTTGGTTGATATCATATCCGCCATATGATTATTATGAGTTAATCTCAGCCTTCCATATATGAGTAGAAGCTTATAAGTATTTTGTTAGAAGTATTCAGCTTTTAGCTCCTTGGTGGAGCCTTTTTCACAAGGATTCCTCATGTAACTATAGCCTCTCCATGATTATTAGAATTGGAAGACCTCTTTGTAATAGTTTTCACTTTTGGGTTGGGGATTTCTCTATTTTTGTGTGGCGTTTTTATACAAGATATATCTTCTATGAAAAGATAAATAATAATAATAATTAGAAGCTGGTAAGAGTTTTGTCGGCCCATGAAGTCATTAGGGCTGATCTATGTTTAAATTTGGAGCTACTACTGACTCAAGGGTTTATCTTAACTGAGTCTGAATTCTGATTTTTCTTGAAAATCAGCCTCCATCGCATCACTTTGAAAAGAGGCTGAATTCTGTAATTACTATCTTGGTCTCATTTTTTAAGTTACAATTTCCTCCTGTAGTTCATGGGGACTAGTTTTGTGAGTTTATCTTTTTTACACCCTATACATTCTTTCATTTTTCTCAATGAGTGGCTTAGTTTCTTATGAAAAAAAAAAAAAAAAAACTTTGTTTTATCACAGGCTTTCATTTCTTCTTTGGCTTGACAATCTGTAGCATCTTACAATTTGCACTTGCAGGGATCTGGAGTTATGTGGAATCAATATAACTTTCCTGTTTTCTTAATATCTGAGAGCAGCATTTCCCCTGTACAGGAGGTAATTCTGATTCTTAATCACTCAAAACGTTCAATTGCCTTAAGATATTTCAATTACCATAAGGCTGTTTGGTTCAGTTGTTATATGCTTGTCTCTGGAAATCAATTTTTTATTTTGATTAATCTGATGGTTGCCATCAGACATTCCTTAGTCTTTCACATTGGTAAGATCATAATGTATTTTTACAGTTTTTTTTTAAATGGTTAGCAAAACTGAAATAAAAACAACCCAAAATAAAATGTAGAACCATTTATGAATAAGTGCATTTGTCATAGGGTTGAAACTCAATGATATTTTGCAATTATGTTTACATTATTTGCTAGCGGTGGGCTTGGGCTGCTACAATTGAAGAGATATTTTGTTCTTAAAAGATAATTATGCCAATACTTTTGAGCAGAAGAATTTATCTGTTGCACAATCGTACCACTTAATGCAGGCTGCTTCAAAAAATGTGAAGGACAAGAAAATTTACACGTCTAATGTTGCTGAATTTGATCTGGTGATGCAGGTACTTAGCTTCTGGTGTTACAAATGATTACATTTCAGTGATTTCACATCTTAAATGGAATCACACTTTGCAAAGTTCGTTTAATTCATTTTCTTTTTGTCTAGACAACCAAGGCTGGAACTCGTAATTCAATGTCTTGTTTGAAAGAAGAAACATGCCTTCCGTTAGGTGGATACAGGTTAAGTTTTATTTGATTTTTAGTTTTATTTTTGTCTCCACATAGTTTTACAATTTTATTCTGTTTAATTTGTTAAAAGAGATCAGTATCTTTACAGTGTCTGGTCGTCGCTTCCTCCAATCAATATTTCTTCAGATAAGTCTAAGCCCATCATTCTCACAGTAGCTTCAATGGACTCTGCGTCTTTCTTCCGTGATAAAAGCATTGGTGCCGACTCCCCCATCTCTGTATGATTTATGTTGAGCAAGTATATTAGTCATAAACCTTACCGTTTATTCTGCTACCTGTTAAAGTCTTTCTGGTACAATTTAGGGCCTGATTGCATTGCTGGCTTCGGTTGATGCACTTTCCCATGTGGATGGACTGGATGATCTTCATAAACAGGTTCTTATAGAAGCTATTTTCTTTGTATCCTATTGTACTGTATTTTTATTAGTAGCTATTTAACTCAAATGCAAATATTCTATAATCTTTTCATCTACATAATTGCATTTTAGATATAACTGTTATGTCTGACTATGTAGAATTTGAGATATAATTGCTATTTCTTGTTTTTATTGCCTTCTATTGATTGAGTTATTGGATTGTCTTATCTTATTTAATCTTAGTTACAACCTCTCGAAATTAATTTTGAAATGGAGAAAAAAAAACCCATTTTTCATTCCTACAAAGGACAATCAGAAACACAAATTGGTGGAGAAAAAATTACCGTGGTAATAGGTTTCTCGCCAACACAAGGAGTTCTAGCCACAGAAGGCCTACTTGAAAAATTCAGTAACGTTGGTGTTCAAAGACTGAATAGACCTACATATGATCATTATCCCTTTCTACTTTCCATGGGTTGCTGTAAATGGGGCCCTTCGCCCTTCCGGTTTGAGAACATGTGGCTCCATTTTGTTTGCAATGGTAGAGTATTGGTGGAAGAATACGCCCCTTCGTGGATGATCAGAGACGGTTTCATCAACAAACTTAAAAAACTAAAAGAAGTCTTAAAGAATTGGAACAAGGAGGTTTTTGGTTGTATCTCCACAAAAAGAAACCAATTACTTACTG